CTAGCCCACGCATGCAAATCAATTATTTAACTCACTAAAACAAAGGACGCCTGGCTTTAGAGGGGGGAATTCACTCTTCACTGACCAAAGTGCCAGGGGCTGTTCTTAACCTCCCAGCATTTTCTCCCGCAGGCTCTGGGAGAAGTTCTTTTGGGAAAAGCGAAAACGAAAATACAGCAAAATAAAACAGGAGAAGCCACAAGCCTGTTTGTTTAACAAAATAAGGCAATGTAGGCAAACACTGCTTCTCAACAACAGGGAGTGTCAATAAAATGCAAAAGGGAAAGCCTAGAGGCTGCCTAAGGGTCTTACAGCACCCCAGAAATAATTAAGAACAGTGTTCTTAGAAAAAAGTGGTCTCATTACATTGATTTCAGACTGTAATTTTCTCCCCCCCTTTCCCTTTTCACCAGCAATCTTGTAGCAATGAAAATATCAGTTTGCTTTCTACTGTTTGTATTCTCTTAAAAATGTCATTATTCAATTATCTGTCTATTCACTGGCCCTAAGGTCCAGCAGAGCAGATATTGTGAGCCTTCATTTAATGTTTTTAAATGCACTTCAGTCCACTTGTGATACAATAAAACTTTATTGAATTCTGTTCCCACATCACACCATCCCTCACTTTTATTGATATGTGAGTCCATCTACTCTTCCGTCAGCAATAAAAGGAATATTTCTAGCAAAGAAATGACCTTTCCTTCTATCAATACAGCAATTGGGAAATGTGATTTCAGCTTCCATATTTAAAAAAAAGTCTTAAGAAAAAAAGAGGTGAAAAACGCTCCAGAGTTGTGTTCCTTCTCCTTGTTAGCACCAAGAAACTAGGAAACTGTCTGTAAGCCCCAAAGAAACTCTATCCCTCTCTACCCATTTATTAGCCTGTTTACCCAGAGGAATGGAAAGGAAGGACAATTTATCCTTTCTCAGATGCCACAAACATTTTTCCCTTGCAGGAAATAGTCCTTGGAATAGATCTCTCCAATATTAAAACTCATTGGTAGACTTGTTGCCTGGAAGAGAGGTAAGTTATCAGCGTGATATGATAGGTGAGCCCCTGCCATGCCCAGGGCATGACTCACGCTCCCTCCTTTCCATCACTGCAGCTAACAGTCCCTGTCAGCTCCCACCTGCTTGTCCCTGTGGAGCTCCCACCTTTTTTCTACTTTGTCCTGTTCTGTGCATCAAAATCTCCAGTCTCCCGCATGCTTTCCAACTCTTCAGTAAAACAGCTCAGTTTTAAAGGACAATAGTGCACAAGTTTCTCTGTTTAACTCCAGAACCTACAACCTAGGAGACTTAGGAGCACAGGAAAAACTGAAGTTTCACCTAGCAAACAAAACTGCCTTTTCAACAACACGTTGAATAGCCTGTGTAGTTGTCTATAGGCAAAAATGAACAGATAAAATACCTCAACATTTCCAACTAGTACCATATTCCAAGCATAAATAGAATCCAAGTGCTGATGATCCCCAGTTTTGGTCAAAGCCAGTGGGAAACAACTGTTTACACATCAGAAAATCTCCTCAGTCTGACATTGGGTATGACCAATCCAGAACAGTACCTTGGCCATGCCCCAGGCTCTTTTAAATAATGTCACCACAGTAAGTAGCATGGGTGCTCCAGAGAATAAGGGAAGGAGCTTGGTGAGGTTGAGGTGTGCTTCTTCCATCTCAGAGATACAAACAGGACTACTGAGATACAGATGGCTTGAGCTAACAAGTATACAATACAAAGGCTATATTTGCATAGGCAAAGCCAGCACACTGGTTTGGATTTATCAAATTGTAAATCAAAAATGTGGCTATTGCAATGACAACTGGCTCAGCAGCTCTTCTGTAGCATTGATCATGCAAGACTGGCATCTCTTGCTTGTCACGAGTCCCATGCAAAGCAGTGGATGAACTGCTCATCTGTTTCCTGCACTGTCTCACGAGTAAAATGGGAAGTCCCTAAAAATATTACAAAGATGAAATAAGGAAAATTATACTCCTAGATGTATTGTAGTGAAGTGGGCTTCTCATACGCACACACATTGTAATGTAGCCTTATGTGCAGTTTCAGACATCCCTCTGCAGCTTGCCATATCTCCGCAATTTGGCAATGGTGTCTACAATAGCACATATTTAATGCAAGACCATGGAGAAGCTGCCCTGGTCGATAACCATTACAATAAAATTCAATTGGAAGAAAACTGGATTTAGGATTTCGGTATTTCAGAAGAAAAGGAGTGGTACTTAAAAAAAAAATAATAAATTGGTAACTGTTTCTGATACCAGAAAAATACGGTAACTCATACCACTCAAGCCTATCAACATAAAACTAACTGGTGGTTCTTGCTGTGACATCCATTTTTGTAGGCAGCATCTGTCATCACATAAAATTACTGCAGGAGCAGGAAAATGAGGAGAGGGTGGAACCGTCTCTGTAGTCATCTCTATCTTCCCCACGTGCTGAGAGTAACTGCAGTCTCACAAAACTCTCCTTGTCAGGGGCATCTGTACTGAGCACACAGGGATGCCATAGGGAGGGTAAAAAGGACATTTTAAAACAGCTACTGAATGTAAGAAAGGTCTTTCTCTCCCGAGAGGAAAAAGGATGTTTGATTCTTGAAAATGATCCATGTTAGTGAAAGAATTAAGAAATAAATTAAAAATAAATACATAAAACCACAGGAGAAGCGAGTGACCCAAGACAGAGTTTAAAGTTCCATCATTTTCTCCAAGGCAGCGTATACACTAGCACTGTGCTACACTATACACATTGAGCTAAGTGCCTATGGTCAGTGCTAACATCTGCTAAAGATGACTCTTAAACGCCGCTCTGTCGAGAAGTGTGCAAGCTCCCCTTTGCTACTAAGCCAGCACTTGGCTAAACTGCATCTCACCATGTACCTTAAGGAGTACACCATACAACCTGATGGAGCAAGCTGAAATTGCACACAAATTTAAGTGCCTGCTGAAATATTAATTCCTTTGTTATGCAGCTGCTGTGTTTCTTTAGGAGATGGCCATATGGTTGGTGCTGCTGCTCACCAAGGGCTTGGTGCATAGAGCTGCAGAGCCAACGCCAGTGCCTGAGGAAGGGAGACAACAGAGTCTGTTCCTCACCCAAAGTGTGGCTTGGTGCAGGCAGCAGTGCCAAGGAAACTGGATCTGCAAGGACTTGGGTTGTGACCAAAACTGGGCTACAGGAGGCTGAAGCACCTGGGCTCAGTGAAAAGAACCCAATAGGTTTCCAGTGCCCAGCTGAACCATCGCAAATGGGAGAGGCATCATCAAAGGGGAAACAGATTTCATTCAGCAGGAACAGCTTTGGTCCAGATACTGAACCTCTGTGCCAGGCCTCACCCTTCCCCATAATAAGTGGAAGGCAGTAACAAAGTCAGGAAGAGTTTGGGCTATAAGAACATTTCACATTTCCCACTACATTGCTGCAGGTGAAAATGCACAGCTGCCATGAATGCAGTCCCACCAACCAACTTCCATGGTGCTACACTGAGTAACAATTCATTAAGATTTGACTCAAAGTTTCCTAGGCAATGAAAGGTACAGAACAACAAACTCAAGAGATGAGATCCCTATTTACAGCATGTTTGTCCTTTATTTTCCACCATAACTCTACTCACATAGACAGTACCTTGGACTCAAACAAAGCAAGTGGTCATCAAAGCCACTAACAATTGCAGAGGTAGTTCAGCTTGTTGGTCTTGTTTTCCTCATTTTATCCAGATCATTAAAACACATTCAGTCCCTGCTGTATGTTTTGTACTGAGCAACCTCTCACAAGAGTTATTTTACATCTTGTACACAAGGCCGATTAACACCTCAGGGCACAATATCCACATATTACCTTTCTCACAAGGCACCACTATTCCTCTTTGTTGATATGCAACAAAGGCTACAGAGGGGTACTACGTAATGGCTATTGCTTTACCAGCCCAGACTCAGGAGGGAACAGCATGCCTCATGCAAATCACAAATCATAAGGAAATACAACCTGCTACGATAAGCAGAAACCTATACCCCTCCCCATCTCCCCATACACAGCGCTGTTTGTACAATGAAAGGCCTCATTTAGAGCGGAATACTTCCAAATGGTCTGCTTGAGCTAGCTCACTTGGTATGAGCTTGCTGAGGCAGACCTTAAGCCCTTGATGTCACACTTTCCATGAGTTTAATAGCTCACCCTGTAAAAAAAAAATCCCTTGCCACATTTAGAAGCTTCACATTGTTGTGTAGAAAATACAGACAAGTTGTGCCCCCATCCCTCAAAGAATGTGGACCCCTCTGCTCAGAGATGAGGGTTCAACTCTCTAGGACCATAACTGGATCTAATAATTTGGTTCCCACAGAAAGCAAGTTCTGAGATACACCTCACTTTTTCCAACTCTGACATTTCCCATTCAGCACATATTACTGTAAACTTACATATCTGTCTTTTTCCACTCCAAAATTCAGGCTAAATGGCAAGCATGCAATTTACCTTCATATCTTCGGAAACTTACAAATTAGCTGTTTTTACCATCAAACACCAAATTTCCCAAAACATTATCTTTCTGGCTCCTTAGTGATACAATACTGTAATTAAGGCACTTATCAAATGTCATCAGTTAAAAAGACATAGGTCAGTCCAAAGTGCATTGCCATTCAAGTACAAGTATAAAAGTCTGGAAAGCAAAGTTATAAGCTAGCAATAATGCTTCATTCTTACAGTATGCTTTCACTAATGGGGCTTTTCCAGAAGGTGACTTGTAACTCTAACACTGCACAGCTAGGCAAACTTGGGGTATTACTAGGATGTTTTTAACATAAGCACAAACCTTGCACAGAAGACAATTTTTCATATCTTATCAGCTCTGTCTCATATGATGCACATAGTTTGTCATCGAGTGTTCATTTGCCCTCAGGCAACAAGAGACAAGCTCAAGGCTGGATCATTCTCAACATTAAATCAATTCTCTGTTAAAGAAACAAATGCAAATATATCAAGATACATACTGTAAGGGACACATTCATACTGAACCTCCAGGTATTTGTACGTCCCAGGGCAAGGGTCTGGAAACACATCAGGGCCGGCCACAACAGCACATTGGGTCCGATTACTGCATCTGAAAAGCAAATTAAAAAAAAAAAAAAGAGTCAGAAGAGTCTAGCACAACTTCTGGCACAACATCAACAGGAGAGAAGATACAGGAACTGAGTCTTCACCATCAGCTCAGGAAGCTCCCCAGGGGAGAGCACACACGCTGATGGCAAACACTGACGCATCACATCAGCTTATTGCCATTGCTTTTTGGGCTGCCATTTTCTTGCATGCTAACTAAATTTCAGCTAATCCATACCCCTAGGATAACACAAAATGTGCTCTGATTTCAGAAGTGACAATAAAGAGGCAGCTCTTTTGAAAGGGAAGAGAGATGGTGGCACAACCCCTTCCCCTCCACAGCACCAGAGGGCATTTCTGTAAAAGCAAACCAAAGAAGATTTACACAAAAATGAGTGTGTGGTCCTTTACTTCTTGAAACCCCAAACCCCATCACACTGACCCCAGCTAACCTCAAATATAAGCATCTCAATCAAATGAAATGCAAAAACTAAAGCAACAACATTTGTGGCAAAAGTAATCATTGTATGTTTTATGGCACACATAAATAGCTTTTACAAAATATTTATAAAACATTCCCACAAAACCAGTCATCTTGAATAACACTGTTTAGCACTAAGCAGAGGCTGGAAACAGTAACACTGAGAGGGAAAGGAACAGTTCACCAAATATTCTGTCTAGAAAACAAAATAGTAGTTTTTCATACATAGTCAACATGCTTGCATTAGTTATAAATGACTCAATGGAAAAAAATTCCTTCACTTTTTTTTTTTTTTTTTAAACAATCAAGAGAGAGAAAGAAATATAATTAGTCTTTGATATTTATCCTTCCTCATGCCAGAAGCAGATCTCCTAGGGGCTGGACCACTGCATTTACTTTCTCCAATCTGCTGCCTCCTGCGACAAGACAAGGGACCTCTGACCCTGCTGCTCTGCTGGCAGAAGCCACAACATCCAGCACAGAGCTCATTTAGCTCTGCAGTGGAAATGCTTCGTGTTTACCTGAGGCTATAGTTTGTCAGGCTTAATGAGGATTTTATTTGAGCCCATAAATTAAAATTGATTCATTAGTCACTGCCTTAAGCTCCATAATTTCTTTAATTTCATGGAAAGATTAATAAGAGCTGATACGTTTGCTCATCAGACTCCTTTGCTGGATAACAGATAATCCAGAGGGCTGGGACATTTTCATGTTTTCTTGTTGAAAGAAGACAGTTATCACAGCAAGCAACTAGTTTTATCAGATACACAGAAAAATAATTTTATTAACAGAAAGGCTGGCTTTGTTGTCCTCAGCCTCACTGCTGGCAGGCAGGTGGCTTGGCGGGGACATCACAGGTAGCTAGGGCTGTGCGAGCAGGCAGCCTTCCAGGAGAGGCATTGAACAGCATCCAACACCTCACTTTCAACAAAAAGCCTTTACCGGGCTCAATGTGCCTTTCAACAAGCAGTCACACTGGCCTAATCAATAGTTTCTCTGGGCTTGGGGACAATCCTGGCCATGCTACATAGAGTAAGAGCAACGGAACAAAGAGGCATTTCAAAATTGTGAGTCAGGATCCAAAACGATTACGATGTTTGAAACCAATGTTTGAAAATTTGGGTTAGAAGCCCAACTGCTTCAGGCTGCTAACAGCAGCTTCATTTCAGTGTAGTGCATTTTGGGATATCATCAAAGATACAAGCACCATGAGATAACAAGTGAGTGGGGAACGCAGCAGAAAACATACATTAGCACCTTAACTCCAGCAAATGCCACAGCCTCCTTAAACATTTGCAGTGCCCTGGATAGGGGATAGCAAAACACATGATTACCCAGCACAGAAACTTCAAAAGAAGGTGAGAACAAATTGACAGTGCCACCTGGGGAAAGGCAACAAAAAACAAAATGAGAAACTCTACCCAAAATCTGAAATACAAAGTGGTGGCAGCACCCCATGTAATTTACCAAGAAAAAAAAAAAAAAAGGCTCCAAAAAATATATCTTTCTCACATATATTTCAGCATATTTCATAGTGACAGCAAAACCATACCCTGTACTTGGCATTTTGAGTTTCTTTTTAAGGTCTCGAGATGAAATATGCCGATTCTCATTCCGGTACACTTTAAAGGAAGAAGGCAATTTGGACTAAAAAGGTTAGAAACACTAACACCCATTCAACCATCTATTACTGTCAGACATCAGCCTACAAAAATTTTCAGGGGAGGAAAGGGTAAGAAACACCCATCAATACAACCCTGATTGCCATGGTTTTGTTCATAGTTTTTTCCACTTTTGTAACAGCTTCTCAGTCTCTTTGGCTTTATCATATTTCATTCCAGAAAGATTAAAGGCCCAGTTGACACTAAGTGACACACAAGAAGTGACAGAAAAGAGGAGATTCATAAAAGAAGATGCATCCAAAGCCTTGGAAAGGGAGGGAAAAACATGTAATCATGTCTTACTCCCTTCCCAGCAAACCAGCCCGTGAGCAGCATCGCTCTTCTTTCCAAATCAAGGGATTTTACACTGAATCATGTGATTTCTTGGCACTAATGGCAAAGTGGGCTCTTTTAATATGTTGAGACAAATTAGGGTGACCGCAGGCCAGGAAGAGACAACTGAGGGATATGGCAATTTTCACCTCTACCTCCAAATCCTGCCCAAGGCTCTAATTCCATAAAGTCATTACCGCGGGAAGGGTGCTTGGCATTCTGTGCTTGCCATGTGCCTGATGAGCTGGGCTCCATCCAGTTCCTAGCAGGCATATGTCTACAACTCTCCTCATTTGCAAAACTACTTCTTCTCTAGGGCACAGAAGGTCACCAAGAGATCAGAAAATGAAGCATATTTGGAGATCTCCCTTTTTTGTCCGAATTGAGAGACAGAAGGCTGTATGCTCAAGGAAGGAGAACGCCCCAAATCCTCTCAAAAATCAGTGAGAGGTACTCAGCAGCCTTTAAGCACCCAGCATCCTAGAAACAGATCATTCACATACATGCTTTAAAGAAAAAAAAAAAAAACATCTCCTAGAAAGCATGTAAATTGTTCCACTACTAGGAAAAAAAAAGGTGGTTATGTTGTCTTTCTAACTCCATTTAAACCCACTTAGCAAGGTGCCTGTTTTATCTTTCAAATATGGAAAAATATTTATCTTAGAAGTAAGGTGTCAATTCAGTGTAACACACAGACTGTAATAGAAAACAAGCATTATTTTTGCAGAATTTCTCCCTGCTCCAGTGAAAAATGAATTTCAAGAGTTTAATGTGAGACAGTAATAAGTCAGCAGTATTTGTTTTCCACTTGCAGCAGTGGCACTGAAGGAAACATCTGAGTTCAGTATCAGCTGCAGGGCTCAACTCTGTTTGCAACTCTAAACTCAGATTTAAAACAACGACAGCAGAAAAAAAACAAAAAAGCAAAAAACAAACTTCATTTCCCTTCAGTGCACTTCCATTCCTTCTCCCCAGCAACATTTTTATGATTTTTAAGTGACAAGGTCATCCTGTGCTAGCAAGAGAGAAGCACTTTCAGATATAAACAGCTGCTTATTTCTCCTCTGACATCTTTGATTTTTTCCAATGCTGACATTGTTGATATATTTACCCAAAAGAGAAAGAAAGGAAGAAATAATAGTTTGGCAGGTGATGTTTATTTTAGGCCTTTCCAGAAACTTTAATAGCACAGACATGTCAGCAGCATCAGACTAGACATGTCTGGGGTGTTATGTTTGCCAGAACAAAAACGCCAAGGCAGCAGAAAATAAAAGATCGATCCCAAACAAAAGCCCTTCAGCATGAATCATTGCAGGCACAAGCCCAGGTCCCCCCACCCAGGTGGAGACCATCTGCCCCAGACAAGCGGAACAGGTGCCAAAAATCACGGGGGCAGCAATGATCATGCTGGGAAGAGCAACCAGAAAACATTGAGCGGGGCTGCAGAAAGCCAAGAGATCCAAATATCCATCTCACATCCCTCCCTGCTGCTACAGAGCCCTGATCACAGCTTGTGCTAACCCACACAAGGCGGTTCTTCGTGCCCACCAGATAAAAGAGATGCTCAACTCTGACATCTATTTTGCATGGGCTGTATTATTTTTGCAAAGGCAAGGCAGTCATCACATGGACACGCTAATATAGCCAAGACATCAATATCCAAGACTGTTTCTCAAGGTCTATTATACTTTTCTAATGGTTTTACAGTAAGAGACAGATTTAATTCATTATCCTTCATGGCAACGCTGCAAGACATTCTTTCTCTTTTCTAAAACACAGAAATTTCCTCTCTGGATGATTGCTTTAAGAAAAAGTTTGTCGTAGTGAATAAGTCAGCCAAAAGTGTCTTCTTTCTTGTCAATATGTGGTATTTCCAAGTCAACTCTTTAGGAAGGGCCAAGATGAAAAAAAATAATAATACCCTGGAGAAAACAGACAGGAAGTAAAGCGAAATTTTACTTTTAAGAGGAGTCTTCTGATGGATTGCAAATAAGGGGAAACAGTAATGAGATAAGAGGGGAAGGGAAAAGGGGAAAGGAAGAGGGGGAAGGAAGTAGCAAGTAGCAGAGGGTGGAGGGAGAGAACAGAACCACGAGCTCCGGGTAAAATCTCTGGTTTACCACATTTGCTTTCAATAAAACACAGCACAAAAGCAAAGCTAAATCCTCAGCATGCTTGCCATTCAAAACCAAAGAATTCCTCAACAGAATCTTTTTTCTGCCTTTGCAAAACATTAAAAGCGAAGGATCTAATGACAGGGAGATGAAAATCCAGTTCCTGGACTATTTTCTTCATTACGAATTGGTCTGTTTTATTGATCTTCTGGAGCAGGGAGAAGCTGCCTTTCCAACCTCTGCTGCGATATAATTATCTGCGGTGTTTAATGCTATTGCAAGCGAGTCCCTCTGCACGCTGCATTTTGTTGTTTTATTGACGGGTTTTAATTATCTATCCAGGTGCCAGAGCTGTCAGTGAGGCTGCTTCTTCCCTGGTCAAACTAAGAGAGAGAGAGGCACAGTGCACTCTAAT